CACCTCTTCCACAGCAGCCGCCTGCAACCACGCCACCTCCAACCTGGTGGCCTACGACACCTCCTCCAACACAGGCTCCATACCCATCCCCTCCCCCACAGGCCTTTTACCAACCAGTCACACACCCATGGCCCGCACACTATCAACCTCAACCACATCCACAACAGTCCCAACCACCACCATCATATCAACAGCCAGTCTTCCGAGGAGAACCTTCACCCCAGATCCAGTACTGTCCACCCCCACAACAGACGCAATCCACACCTGTGCAGGTCTTATACGATTCCGATGGCAGACCCCTGCCGCCAGGGCAGCAGCCATACATCCCTGAAGACGACCCCTGGCACGCTGATAACCACCAACGCTGACCTGGTTGAGCCGGCTAATGCGGCCATCCAGCTGTAGCAGGTTTTCAACATCAGATCATTGTTTGCATCACGACATCCTGTTGATCCACCTTTTCTTGTTCACTTCATGACAACTTTCCGTTGACTGTTCCCTTCAATGCATATTACCTAGCCATTTTACGAACTAGTTTATTCACTGCGACCATCGGCTGCTTCACCCCGCACCACGAAAAATCTCGTCAGCAGCTGTTGCAGCATGCGGTGCTTATCAGACTTGCAACCTCCGCCCCACCACAAGGTTTTCCCAAAACGAGGGATCTGTTGAAGGTGCAATTTTTTGACACACCTGATTTTCATGTCTCTTCCATGCGTTTCTCACCGGCGGCAATTCTGTTGGATTGGATCCTCACCGCTAGCCCAGCTTTTTTGCTCAAACATTCTGCTTTCCACGCACTCTTCTTTGCCAGTGATATCGCCATCATGGACGCGCAGTGGCAACAACTTTACTGGCAACACTATTTGCTGCAGCAACAACAGCAGCAACAGCAAACGGCACACCAGAGCCCAGCCAGTCCCCCATACACCCCCACAGGCACCTACGGCCCCATGACCCACTCAGTACGCACCCAGCAGGCTCACCACAACCACCCGTACACTCCATCTCCTTCTTCTTCTCAGCCAGCACACACTTACTCACCTTCCACAAACCAGACGTTCCCACCGCCACCTCCACCACCACTGGCAACCGCAGCTCCCACCACCCCTACGGCCACCATTGGGGCTCCAACTCCTTGCACGGGCATCGACGTCTACGTGGCTCCTGGCCTACCACGGCACAGCAGATTACACCGCCAGGACCCTCAGCCACGGCAAATACTGCGGCCTCATTCCAACACGCAGTAAAGCTGAGTCGCAAGCTCGTGCCTTCCATGCCCCACTGATCTCCCTTCTCATTCAACAGCTCCAAGCCCATGCTCCTGCAGCAGCGCCCTTCGTGCCTTGAAAGCCACTTCCGACGACCTGGCCCGAGCCCGAGAGAAGCTACACGCCCACGGCATTGAACTTACACCCCGCAAAGAGGCTGGTCGCTCTTCCGCCCCCAGTGCCCCAGCTGCCCCGGCCGAACCTGCAGCACACAAGCCCCCTGAGCTGTCCGATGTCCTTCAACCACCACACCCATCTTTAAAAGATGATGTTCCCGAATCTTGGACAGCTCCGGCAATCCAACAATGGATGCGCACCTTCGATCCTGCCACTCAAGACTCCGCCAAGAAGCTGAAGGAAGCTGCCACCCGTTATGGCCTGCCATTGGCCCGAGTCAACAAGCTGACCATCAAAACCCTACAGCATATCGTCAGCATAGGTGCAGCCATTGCGTGCTGACTCTCCTTTCACAGCCAGCAACTGCCGACCAACACCCACCTACAGCAACTCTTTCACCTACACCGGGCCCTCTCAACACTGATACACAAAACCCAATACATTGAACGTGCTGAAGCCATTTTTGCCGTAGGCCTCATCCACCTCACACTTCTCTTTTGCTATCCCTCTTCCACACAACGATCTCAACAATGGCGTCAACGCTTCCGCCACCTGCATGTTCTGCCTCACACTTACCACTACCACAACTTTCTTTCCAACTCAGCTTACATCAAACTCCATTTCAACACCATTGAGCCACAACGCTGTTACCACCAACATGGCCACTACTATGTGGGCTCCACAGCCCTCGGCATACCACACCGCGAACACAACCGACGGGCCAAGCTAAAACAACTTCAAAACAACATACCAGTTTCCGCTGAACTATCCCTGCGTTATTGGCACTCACATGACAATATCCATCACTTCACCACTATCCAGCTCTCTTCCCATGACAACTATGATCAGGCCTGGATCAAAGAACACCACTTCATTTCCAGCTGGATGCCACCCCTCAATTGGCCTTTCATTTCCCAGCATCTCAAACTCAAGGCTCAAAGCTGGCAATTCACAAAACACCGAGCACATTTCTACTCACGCCTAGCCACTCACAAGCGGCTCTTCCGCCGGCTGCGCCGACGACAGCAGACGATCAGAGAACCACACCTCTATACCTCCACCAAACATCAAGCCCTGACTCTTCTCCGCAACCTCACAAAACACACCTTGGCCTCATTTGAAGCAGCCAAACAACCCCGCAGTGGGCGTCATACCGACCTTGAAGTGTATGCCATCAGACGTATGGCTTCCAATCTTGAAGAGCCAGGTCGTAGCAGAGCCCTGCACATCATCAACAAAGCACTCCAATACCGCAACTTGACTCCTCCGAAGCCGAACATTCCACTTACAGTACCATTCCTGGCTCACGACGACTTCATCAAACATGGCCAACAATGGCTACAAACCACCATCCAACAACACAAGCGTTTAGCCATCCCACTACACCTCCCCACACATCGCCTGCGCGAAGCTGCCCACAAGACACTCCGGGCACAACTACACAACCGTCGCGCGTGGGAAGACACCTTGCACACACCTCCTGACCCCAGCGACCTCCCGTGTGCTTGCTCTCATCTCAAGTCCCTTCTTCTTGAACCAACCACAGCTACCACAAACGACCACTACATTCTCACTTTGGACCAACTGACATTACCACCACACCTCCGCATTTTTCTTGACGCCAATATGAGCAGCACCTTTTATCCCAGCAAAGCCCGCTACTTCCTCACATTCCAAACGGCTTTCACCAAATGGCTCCGTTTGCAAGGACTCCCTACCTCGCTCAGCCAGCACTTGGAACCCTTCCTTCAGCACCAATGGCGACTCCACACTGCACACCTCAAGCATCACCCGCGCTTTACAGCTCGCCTTCTCCGTCAACTCCAAGAATACCTAGGTGACCAAGTGGTGCTCCACCATGCTGATCACGAGCTCCAACAGCTCCGAGTCTTTTGCCCTCGTCAATACTTTACAGGAGCACTCAACACATGGCAGGCTCCAGAACTTTTTGAACCCCTACCACACCTCCACTCATCCAACATCCACGACCACCTTGCAGCTACCATACCGGCCAGCCTCCGCACTCGATACAAATGGGGCTTCCGCAAAGACTTCACAATCCCATACGGTATCGTTCACCTCCAGGCCAAGAAGCAGTGGCAAAAAGGACGCACCATTTTATCTTACTTCCACTCTTTGAGCGGCAACCTCTTACGCACCACCAGTCGAGCACTTGACATCATTCTACAACACCTTTTCCCACAACATCCAGGACAACTGTCCATCCCGCAACTATGGCGCCACTTCCATGGCTACCTCACCCAAACACCAGCAGATATCCACCTCCACACGACCAACGATGACCTCGTCGGCTTCTTCAACTCGGTACCCAAACACCGCCTCATCGATGCAGTCCATTCCCTGATCCAACAATGGCAGCTCCAACATGCTACACACACCTTGACCGTGGACACAAAAGCCACAGGCAACCCTTTCCATCATTCCCATGTTGGCAGACACTACACAAAGCATCCTACACAACGTACCCTCCACACATCCGACATCACTACTATTGTGGCCTTTGCACTCAACACTTGCATTTTCCGGGCATGTAACAACACTTACAAACAAATCCGAGGAGCTGGGATTGGCTCCCAACTCTCTCCTGCCCTTTGCAACGTTGCAATCACCCTCATTGAACACTCCTGGCACCAGCTCCACAACAATCTCCAGCGCACAGCCCTCCACTTCACCTACTACAGATACGTCGACAACTGTTTCATCGTGCACAACGAACACTTCCTCTCCCACCCAGCCATACAGACTCTCATTCAACACAACTTTTTTGGTGATCCAGTAGAGCTGGAAACAGTGGACGACTTTCACCTCCTGGGCTTTAACATTGACCTACCACAACGAACCATCACCTACATCCAACCCACACAACCCTGGAAAATCAGGGATCCCACCAGCGCCGGTAGCCAGCGCTTGGCTCTTTCCGGCTTAGCTTCCAGACTCCATGCAATATACACATACACCTTTCCACCCAATACCGCAGCGGCAGCGGCTGAAGAGCTTATCCGGCTGTACGTCCAAAAAGGACATGACCCAACTGCATGCCGTCGTTTTTTGAGAAAAAAGCAGACGATGCCACCTTTTCATGTGCCTGCGCCGACTTCGGCTACCTGTGTGGGTCACCCCCTGTTCCTAAGGGTTCCGCCTGTCTTTGTCACCACAGTTGCAGGGGGCATTGCAGCTGTTTCCCTAGCCATGCCAACGAAGCTATGGGATCCAGCCGGAAGGGAATGTGGACGTACCTGCACCAACAACTTTTGATCACGCTGTGACTCCAATCTTTCCTGTGTGATTCCATGGTCCTTGCATGATAGACCCCAAAACCTTTTCCCACCGCGGACTTGCAGCAGACTTGCAGCCGCGCTGAGTGTCCGATCGTTGTCGAGTGCACTTGAACACACGTTTAAACCATACTGTTTCTCGCTGACCTTTTCACCTTGCGTTTCCCTCACCTTCCTTCTCAACGTGGGAATTGAGTTAACAGCAAACCAATGTCAGAGTGTGTGCTTGTATGCAAAAATAGATTACTTACAATGTGCAGCTTGCGTCCCTCTACCACCCCTACCTTCAAATGCCAGCGCCCACCCTGGACTGGTCCTTGAAAGGATTTCCGCACGACATTGATGAGCGGCACCAGCCACGAGTCGCCTGCAGAGCTCACGACGATGGCCAAATCCAAAAGGTTCCAAACAATGTCTGGGCTGTCGCAGGAGAAGAACTCACGACCCAAGCGCTTCAAACGGACCACCAGTTCAAAGACATAGATACACAGCAAGAAATTCTCGAAGACCAACCACCCTCCCCAGTCGATGTCAGTCTCACAGCCCATCAGCAAAGCGTTCACAGCAATGACACCCCCAATGAAGGACTGGAAGCCTGCCCCTTCAGTCCAGGACAAGTCCCAGTCTAACATCAAAGCTAGGAGCTTGATGACCCGCACAAGCCTCATCAAGCGGATGATCCCCAGAATGTTCTGAGCACTCTCAGCGCTCATGGGCAGATAGGGAGCCAAGTATCGGAAAAGCCATTGATCAAGGACCCCAGCTCCAACCACAATAATGTCAATGAGACTCCACATGGCCAGCGAACGGGTCCCACAAAGGAGGCGCTTCTTCCAAAAGCATGCCCTACAGAAGAGCTCCAAGACATAGAAGATCAAGGAGCATTGATCCACCCAAAACAGTTTTGCCAGGAGTTTTTCTGACAGCTTTGAGTCAGCTTCCAAAACAATACTCACCGTGTTGCAGCAAATCACAAGGGCGGCCAGCAAGTGAAACCACCAGGATTCCACAAAGTAAAACATGGATTTCTTGTCCACAGCTGAGATGAGATCATCATCCTCATCGTCCTTCTCGATTTTCAACAAGTCTACACTTATTCCATTCTCAGGGCTCATGTTGAACCGCTCTGTGTGCCATAGGGAGTCGCAATCCGTCTCTACTTCACTGATGTGAGGGTCGTGCTGTGGCACCTTTTGGTAACCATGACGGCTCGGTGACGCCTTCATCTGGTGAAACGTGGGTTTCGGCAGCACATGCCAAAGTCGCACGACTCTTGATCCAAGAAGTTGTGCTCTGCGCAGATACCCAGGACTGGGAGACAGGAACTTGGAAGACGCGGGGCGAGTTGTAGGAACAGCAACAACAAAAAGATGTTGCAACTGATTTTGCACACAGCACTGAAAGATCACGTGCAGGACCACTCACACATATATATTAAAAAAACACAGCTCCTCATGGTTCGCAAAAGCTCTCCAGGCCAGCGCCACTGCTCGCACTTCTCGCAGACGCTGCTCGCAGCACCCCATGCTACAACATCAGGGCTGGAGCCTGACCTCCCTAGCCACTGCAGCAGGTTCAGCGTCACCAACCATCCTCAGGGATGGTCAGGAACGACCTGATTGGGGGACCTATGGAGCATCCGAACAGGCCTACCAAACGAGACCACAAACACTACATGGGTTGGTCTCATTTGGCCAAGCCTCCGCCAAATAAGAAGCATGGACAGAGTCAAACACCAACAGGGCAGTGCTGCACGACTCATTTAGGAAGGCCCCCCGAACACCGAACGCCGTTGGACCCTGCTGAGACTTGTTGCAGGTTAGTTGAATATGTCAGTACAACCCCCAAAAAAAGATTGAACCGTTCATTGAATCCCTATCCTCGCCTTTCAACATTTAAAGACCGCTGTGTCACCTATCCCTTCAGCCCACCACCGCCCCCACCTTGCTCCACCTGGCCCGCCACGGACGTGATGGCCCTACAGCTCGGCTCGGTCCGCGCATGGCGCGCAAACCAGGTCATCTCCAAGAGCAGTTCCCAGGAAACTGTGGAGGCTGTGAGTGCTGAGACTGGGATGGATCCAGACAAGCTGCAAAGTGCCAGCTGCCAACAACTTGCTTGAGCATAGGCCTCCCAGTGGGTGAGAGGAGTGAAGGCTAGCCTGATGCTGACTACTGATATGTATTGTGCCAAATGAGCGCCATAGATGGCTGGTGGATTGTGCTTGGCTCGAACAAACACCACCGACAACTGACGGCCCAAAAACACACAACTTCAGCCGAAATAAGAATACGAATATAACAAACAATAACCAAAGCGGCATCATGCACCACGACCACCACAACCACCACGATGACCATGTCATGACCATGAGCCCCGCCACCATGTCCACGAAGTCTACAACAAACCCCACCATGGCATACTGCGGCTCAAGACAAACAATGACTAACCTGGCATGCATGAGAACTGTGACAAACATCGTAACGCACACGACAATAAACTACACTGGCATAGTCGCTGGCATGACCACGGAAAGCACACCTATATACCACAAGTGCAACCACAAGAAAAACACACAACAGCCACGACCACAACGGCAGCGTCCGCAGAACGAGACATGGTGGTTGATCAATATTTTTTCATCCTGAAATGGCCATTCTTCGCGGAAAAAACGATATCCTTCGCGGATCTTTCGCGGCCTCATCGCGAAGCTAACATGAGCCGGAACATGTCATAGTATCACAAAATAGGAACAAACATCTTGCAGCATGACCCCAGTAGAAGGTTGAACTGGACCTTTCGGTCGGGTTAGTTGAAATATGTTGAAATAAAAGGCACTCCCAATGATCTGGGGGAGGTCAGCCCAAGCCTTGTGAGATATGCTTTCAGTGTACTCATTGTGCTCCAGCTGCCATTTCTTCATCCAAGAGAGCACCTGCAAGGCTTCTGCCCACCTCGTGGTCTGTTCACAGCCAGCCGCACTGCAGCTGCAGTGAAACACGTTCACCTCCACCCGCTCCACCGCCATCACCTGCAGCATTCCCAGTGTCAGGTCGCTCCGCCTCGCCCGCCCGAGCTCCGCCAGCAGCACCGTCGCCGCGCGCGGGTCGCGGAGGCGTTCGAGGTGTTCGACGTCAAGCGCCTGGTGGAGCTGCCAGAGCGATGGGTCCAAGGGCAGCCGCAGCAGGGCCGCTTCCGGATGTGGCATTGGAAGCTTGGAGAAGCAAACCCTAGTGACCTTCTAGTGAAGGAAGCTCGGAGTCAGCACATTGACAGCGGCTGGCCTGGGTCTTGCCAAATGGATGGTTTCCAGCCTCTGGCCAAAATCGTCGGGCCCCTCGCCCGACGTCAATGAATTTCAACGACTTGAGAACTGAAAAAGGCAAAGTGGGGCAGCCATAGTGGTCCTGGAAAAATATAAAAAATTGAGCAGGTAAAGGGCCCGATGTTGGACAACAGCAGCCAGTGGGCCCCCTAATTCATGAGACTTGAGGATTGCTTTGAGGGTTTTGATCCCTTCACCAACCTTCCGGTGTTCATGGGCTTCTAAACTGCCGCACTTCATCATACTTGTAGCCAAGCCTTTTAGCCAAGCATTTCAATCTGTTTCTCTTGTCAAAGCACGACGCGTCAGCCGCGCACCATTTCCGCACCGCGCGAACGCGAAAAGGTCAGTGGCTCGAGGATCCTAAACATGGGGCCGAAAGGGCAGTGTGGTCAACATGGAAGCGATTGCCTGCACGATTTTCTCACTGGTCTTTCTCTTTTTGGCCACACTGTCCTCCAACCTCGCCAAAATGCTGGCGTTCTCAGGATGCTCGACCAAGACAGCCATGGGACTTTCAAGCCATGCCCTGAACATGTACATGAGCTTTTCGTCCACCTTGGTCAGGCCGTCGGCGAACTCATAGTTCGTTGGAATCCAGTGGACCTGGTCAGGTCGCATGACCTCCTGCACCGATCGAACCGAGACCAAGCTTCTCCGGTCCGATATGTTCGGAGCGTCAGCCAGCAAGGCATCATAGAGGGACTTCGCGTCAATGGCCTGGGCCATGGCCATTCGAGCTCCGACTCGATGTGCTGGCTCGTTGAAGTGAAGCTCGGATGCCATTCGGTTCAAATAGCTTGCTCTGTCCGATGCTTCATCTGCTGCACAGGCTTCTGCGGCAAGTGTCGATCGACACACTCTTGGAGCTCGGCAGCTCCTCCAGTCGATGACCGTGTACTTCGTGGGCTGCATCTTCACGGAGGGAGTAGTCAAGCCTGCTAGCAGCCCGATCTGTGAGCCTGAGCGGCTTGCATTGCACCAGCTGGCGTCTGAGAAGGCCAGGATGAGTGTGTCCTTGCGGAAGGGGATGTCCTGGATGCAAAGACCTTGGGAGCTTGTCTTCTTCAGGTAGCTGATGCCATCGTAGAGGGATTTGAGATGGACATAGCTTGTCTCAGCTCCTTGGTTGGCCAGGGACACCAGTGGCGACACTTCAGGTCGGCATTGGGTTGCAGTCCACTGCAAGCATCCGCTGACGGATCTAAACTCTTGGTGCTCTGAGGCCGTCAGCTTAGGGTCCTGTGTGGACCTGCCCTTGGGGATCTTGCCGCTGTCGAGCCCTTCGATGAACTTCTCCATCTTGATGCTCATCTTGTAGCGACCTTCATCAGTGGTCTCGATGAGGAGCTCTTTCCCTTTGAAGGTGATGGGATTGCCAGGCTCAAAGGCTTTCAAATCGCCCCAGCGGAAGAGCTTCTGGACTTCAGAGATGTCATAATCTTCTCTGAATAATAACCCGAGGAAGTCGTCCACGTAGACGAGGATGGCGGAGATGGGATCATCTTGGCTGTCCCTTTTGATGAAGAGTTGAGGATCAAAGGCATGTCGCCCATAGCCCATGGTGGACAGTCTTGAAGAGACTTCTTCGCTCCAAAGGTGTGGGGCGTTTGAGAGGCCGTAGACATTGCCCAGGATCTGATATACAGCTCGTGGGACCAGCAACTCGTCTTGGAGATCAGCCCATCCTTTGGCGCCTTCATGTAGAGCGGCAAGGGGCGCTCGCTGTCCTTTTGTCGGCCCTGGAGAAAGGCCGTCTGAGCATCTCCCGCCCAGGCTGACCACTTTAAGGTGGTGTTGAAGAGCTCGCCATTGAGTCCAGACACGATCATCTGGTAGCAGATCATCTCAATGGTCCTGCCTGGGGTCGGTGATGACCTGGAGAGCCGGTCGAGGTCAGGGTCCTCATGACCGAGGCAGACGATGCGGCACTTGGCCTTGACTTCGCCTTGGCCGACGTTCTTGTCCCTGTAGCATGCGCGGCTGCGCATGATCCTCTTCCTCAGGATCTTGTCCTGGAGGACTTGGCGACACTCCTCCTTGGTGAGGGGTCGAACACTTTGCCACTCTGACCAGCTGTTGGACTCTTTCTCGATGGCTGCCAAGAACTTGTCAACGTAGGCAGCTGGCATGGTCAGAATGTGGCGCCAGGGGATTTCCCTGTCCAGTTGCTTTCTTTCTTGCCTGGTGAGGCCTGCAGCATGATGTTGTCGCTGCGGTTGCTTGTTGTCTGCTTGTGTTGAAGAGTCCTCCGAATCCACGGATGTGTCAGACTCTTCTGCCGGCTTGTCTGTGTTTGCTATGTCCTGTTGACGTTGTGCTGTAGTGGCGTAGCACTTGGAGAAGGTTTTGCTTTGTGGCCCATAGTGTTGTGGCGGTGTGCCATTCCAGAACCTGCTTGCCAACGAGAAGCTGCCGTCCTCCTCGAGTGAGAGTGCCAAGGTGTCAAATGGCCTCTTCATTGGCAGTGTTGGAAGTGGTTCATCAGCCATTGGCTGTGGTGCGTGTGCCTGTTCTGCTTGTGGCTCTGCAGCTGCCGCGTCTTCAGTGCTTTTTCCTGCTGCTGCTGCATCTGTATCTGCTTCCTGTTGATGTTGTACTTCATGAGGTTCTGCCAGGTCCTCATCATCTGGTACTGGTACCAGTTCTGCCGGTGTAGGTGCAAAGGTGACTTGAGGACCTTCTGGCGGGTGTTGTGGCTCCTCCAAAATGGTAGGTGCCTGAGGTGTGTCCACCTCTGCTTGGTGAAACTCGCTGTGCGGTGCGATTGCTGGGGCCGTTTCGCCCGTGGCAGTGTTTGCCAAATGTGCTAGTTCAGCCGGTGTTGCACGAGTCCGTTTGGAGTGTGCTGATTCCAAAGGTGTGGAGGGTCCTCTCGACCTCGTAGTGCGAAGTTGTTTGGGAAGGTCCCCAAACCGTTGTAGTGTCTGCACCGTGGTGTGATGGTGCATGTGGGTTGGGCTGTCGATGTTGACCTGCACATTTGCGGTAGTGCTGCCCTGTGGTGCTGGTGTGCTTGGTGCTGCTTGTGAGGCTTGAGCTGGTGTTGCCGGAACAGCCATTGCTGGTGTCATCGGTGGTGCCGTGTTGTCATACTCCAGCGCCTCCTGCTCCAAGTGAGCGTCTTGTGTCAAGGCTTTTTGAGGCGGTGGTGGACCGCGCTCATCTTCCAGCATGTGCTGGCCGAAGTTCTTGCTGGCGTCCTTCAAGACCTTGATGTCTTGCTCGTCAGGGCACCAGTCTTCGAAGGAATGAGCAGCCCTGAGCTGTTCTGCCGTGACCAAAGTGGTCGATGCACCAAGTCTCACCCAGGCTTGTTTTCCTTCATGGGCAGGATCCCATGACAGAAATCGAGCTGCCAGCCATGCGCCTCTCTTGCGGACTCCTTTCTTCGTCCAGCGCCACACCACGCATCGTTGTCCAGGTTGAAGGTCTGGGATGCTGGTGTTTCTTGTCTTGCGCAGTAGAGCTCGACGGAACTGTTGTTGTGCATTAAGATCGATGAGAGTCTTCAGAGCTTCACTGCGCACCAGTTCTGCTCGTAGTCCAGGATGTTCAGGGTCACGGAATGGTTGAGTGGAGGTGCTCAAAACCTGTCCGTCTGTGAGCACATCATTTGGCAGCCGTGGGACCCTTCCGAAGACTGCTTGGTATGCAGAGCGTCGTCTGGTGAATGCCATTGTGTTGCAGGCGTGACATGCCTGGACCAGGATCAGTGGGACGTCTGCCAAGTCGACGATGGCGAACTGGTCAATCAGCCTCTCGATGGTCAGGCGCAAGATGGCGTTGCGTCTTTCGATCATGCCGATGAGGTAGTGGGCCTCTGGTGGGCAATGTTCAACGAGGACGCCAAGTGACATCAGGCGCTTCTCGAACTCTCCCCGGAATGTTCGGTCCGGGTCGCATGAGAACTTCAAAGGAAGACCATAAGGTCGAAGCCAAAGGTCGGTGAGGAGCTCAAAGGTGGTCTCCGAGTCCCGGTTCTTCATGAGGCCAGCCATGTGGAGACCTGTTGCTCTGTCAATGATGCCAAGGACCGGAAACGAAGTGCCATCCAGTAGTCGGCAGTAGAAAACATCTGCCTGCAGCTCATCACCAAATTGTCCTGCGACCAATGAAGGCATACTGGTTGGTCGTGGTTCTTGAGGTGGTTTCAGCCGTTGGCATGTAGAGCAACTCATGCCCTGCACTGCTTTGATGACTGTTGCCGGGATGCGTCCTTGATGTGCCAGTAGCCTCATCAGCTCTTGAGTACTGGGGTGTCCCAGGTTCAGGTGTAGCCGTGCAAGCGACCGCTTCACGTGTTGGTCAACTCCATCGACACCGCTGAAGGAGATGTCGGTCGTGAGGCCTGGAATGATGGCCCTGTCTGCATCTGGAGCCGGTGTAGCCGGTGAAGTGGTCTCCGTCCTGAACCCGTAGGCGAAGATGCCAAAGGCGACAGCTTTTGAGAACCGCTGTCTTGGGAACTCGATCTGGTCCAAGTCCTCGACCTCAACTGCTCGGGTCTTGTCAGCATACTGAATGCTGCTCTCGTGAAGTACTCATCCACATTGGCCGGAATCCTCCTAGAAGTCGGAGCATAGAAAGCCTGAATGCGCACGGCCTTGATGCGGAAAAGCTCTTGAATCTTCTTGCCCATGTCGGAGTCCAGGGGGAAGTTGAAAGGTCTTTTGGCTCCTCTTTCGTAGACATTGTCCACGTACTTCACGATGTCGTCCCATAGGTCGAGATCGGCCGTTGGGTAGGCCGTTGCATAGACCTTGTGTTGTGGTGGTCCGAATCGTAGGGGCTCCTTTTGGAAGATCAGTGCACGGAGCTCCTGAAGTACTGCATGACATAGTTCATCAGGGTATTCTTGAGATCGTCTTGTGAGCTTGCCCTGAATGGGAGTGCAGTACATCTTCTGGAGAGGTGTGAGCCGACGGTTGAGCTGTTCATGTAGGCCAGGTTGATTTCCTGCCCATCTCATTGGTTTTGCGATTGGTTGTCCATCAACTTCAGCTCCATAAGCTCCACAGTCTAGATCTGTGGTCCAAACTCCACGGAGGCCCAAAAGGTCGGTCACCTCTTCCAAGTTCCACAGCTGTGACCCCTGTGGATTCTCGAGCAGGAAGTAGCGCCCTGCCCGGTGTTGTCGTAGTGCGACCGCCACGGCAAACTCGACAAGAACCTTCTCATCGTCCTGCAAGTGGCGTAGTGCGAGCCGCCTGTCTGGTGAAGACCAGTTGAGGTTGATGTTGAACTGGTTCCATAACCTGCAGTCCACTCCCATGATCACCAGCCAAGGTTTATAGTGGTCGAGCTTTTGGAAGATCATCTTACGCATGGCTGGGTCCTTGAAGTTCTGGCCATAGAGGAGGTCCATGGGCTGCAAGGTGTTCAGGTTATAGTGAGCTGCCAACCGGGTCATATTTGGGCTTCCAGCGAACAATTCCCAGAGGTCAGCATAGGGCGGAGGTCTCTCCATGGTCGGCTTGCTTGTTGCATAGACCTGGTACTCCTTCTCGAGGATGTCAGCGGCCTTGTTCCAGTCTCCTCGAAGTCGTTTTGCCTGGCCGCTTTTGAGAGCTATGGTTCGTGGAGGACCATCTGGTCCATTGGCCCTTCTGACTTCACAATCTCGTCGATGAGGCCCCAGTCCATGATCTCCTCGTCCTCCTCGATCAACACGCCCAGCTCCGCCAGGCGTTCGTGCCTCTTTCGATCGGCCGCCAACTCCAGCTTCTCCCGGTGAGGCCTGAAGTGCTCCTCGTTGAGGAAAGCGAACTCCGCCACGGTGGTCGGCTCTGCTTCCAGCGGCGACCTCTGCTCCAGGATCCTGAAGACCTCCACCTGCTCCTCCTGAGTCAAGTGGTCGGTGTGGAGCGTGTAGCCCATCTCGAAGCTCGTCCAACCCGAAAGAGTTGATGTCCAGGTCGAACATGGTGCTGCCGTGCTCTTGGCCTTGGGCTTCGGTCGAGCTTTGCTGGTGCTCCCTGCAGATGCCGTTGCCTTCGATGACGGCTGTGGCAATGGCAATTGTCGAGAAGAGGAAGCGAGAGAGCCACCTCCTTGGGAAGACCAGATGTCCCAATCTTCCTTCTTGTTGTTCCATTTCCACTTTCGAAGGCAGGTTTGGCGACGAGCGAACCTGCCATGCGCATTGCCGTACCTCTTGATCACCGTGCGCTGGCACTTCTCGGGATGAAGTCGTGGGCTCATCTCCGGCGGCGCTGCATGGTCCAGCCATGCCTTGGGCATGATGCCCAATCGCACGCCCCCCGCCATGTAGATCCAGATGTTCCTCTTGAAGGCCTCGAGGCATGAGACCAAGCGGCGCCAGCGCTGAAGCCATGCGGGCGGCGCCGTCCGCATGAGGAAGGTCTTGGGGCGGCTTCAACAACGAATTGGATGTCAAGGTGGAAGCGGACACCTTGACGTTCATGGCGGAAGGAGAAGTTCAGGGTGTGGGTCATGCCAAACATGTGGTGCAGAAAACGCTTTCCACTCATGAAGACGCTGTGGATGCTCGTGGTTGAAATCCAAAATGGAAACAGCAAAATGACCTCCTTTGACATGTAACTGCACTGTGCACTGCAATGATGAAAAGTAAACAACTCGATTCGGCAGGTCGATGATCGAACCGAGGGAGTCCATGAGTGCATTGCTTCCCAACAAGGGAATGCTTTCCGGGAGGATGCCTGCTCCAACAACAAGGGGGTGGTTGTCGAAAAACACTGGGATGTAGGCCCTTACGTGTGCAACCGTTGGTTCACCCTTGCCGAACTGAAATACATCTTCCGAGGGGATCTCCTTGGTCTTGAGGTGGTGCTTGAACAACATGTCACCATGGGACCGGTACCAAGCTTTGCCAGCGCATGTTCTCTGGCAGGCTGAATCCAAAACCATGTAGCCGGTGAGGTCGTGTCCAGTCCCGAAGCCCTTGGTCTCATGAACCTGAAAAGGGAGGTTGGTGACCATGTTGATGGCAAACATTGTACCATAGTCTGAGGGGGGTGCATCGTTCACCTCGAGGGACAAGTGCTCATGGTGCACCACGCTGACCTGATGAGGACGATCAGCCTTTTTGTCAGGGCCTGAGGTCTGGCGGTAGCTCGAGCTTGAAGATCCTTTGGACCCCTTGCCGGGCTTGCCAGCCTTTCCAGCTCCAGCTCCTTGATTCATCGGGCATGCCTGGTCCTGATACCAGTGCCCCAAAGCACCGCAAGCTGAGCAATGTGTCACCTTCCGGAGTTCATCCGGTGACTTCTTGCTTTTGTTGCCGGTGGAAAACTTGCGACCCAAGGTGATGCCACTCAATTTGCGAGCCGTGACCGTCACGACCTGTGCGAGGTGGGTCAAGTCGTCGGTCACATCGTCTGTGGCCTCTTGGCCTTCTTCATCTTCTGGTTGCTCTTCTTGTTCGGCTTCGGCTTCAAGTTCGTCCGGTTGTTCATGAGCATCTTCGAACTCATCGGCCTCAAAGGCCTCTTCATCAATGACCTCGGTGATGTAGGTCTGTCGTCGTGGCATGGACTTGCCACTGCTCATGGACTTGCCGCTACCTTTCGTGAATGCCGAAGACGAAGATCCGCTGGTCGTCGATGAGGTCGGTGAAGTTCCATGCTTGCTCTTGCCAGCTCCTTTGCTTTGTCCGTCCTTGTTCACGACGAGTGGAGCGGTCCTGAACTCTGGCCATTGAAGGACTAAGCACTCGGCGATGGTCTCAAAGTCCAGGCTTTGTTGCGTGCCGATGAGGACCATCCTTTGGTCCTGGTAGGACAAGCCGCTGCGGTCCAGCAGTCTGGAGCCCAGCGAGTCGGAGTCAAACGTTCCGCTTATCTCCACTCCGACGGATTTGAGGGATCTTTGCACCCTCCTGAATCTCTGCACGTGTGCCCTCATCGACTCGCCTTGAAAGCGGCGGAAGGTCTCGAACTCGTGCAGAAATCTCCTTTTCTGGTAAATGAGGCGTTGTTCGAACGGCTTCTTGAGCAAGCCCATGATGACGTCCACCCCATCCGGCTTGAAGATGTCCTCAATGGAGAAGTGTTCCAATTCTTGTTCAAGTTCGCCGGTGAGGCCATTGTACAAGATCAGGGCCTGCTCTTTGGGGCTGGCGTAGGCTTCCATTTGAAGGCGCCATATGGCGATCTTCTTCGTGAACTTTGCAAAGGCGCGCATGTCGTTCTGGTCGTTCTTATGTCGGATGTCGGAACAGCGGGTGGCTGCCCCGACTTCCACTTCACTCCGGGCGTGGGCCCTTTCTTGGAGTTCCAACTTGCCGGAGGTGTTGAGGATCCGGCAGCTTGTGAAGGTCGGTCTGACCTCCTTGCCTTGAGGGTGTCTTCACATGTAGGACAGGTACAGGTGAATCGTGGTCAGGTGCACCTCCAGCTGGTCGTCGATCGTCAGGGGATAGTGGTGATCCTGCTCCGGCCTGGTCAGGCCGTTGAGGAGGGACTCCATGAGGTAACCCAGAATGAGGGAGGTGTCCAGCTCGTGGCCCTCTCTTTCCATCGAAGGGGTCGATGACAGGGTCATTGGTCAACTGTTCTGATTCGGCTTGTTCATTTTCGTCGTCGTCCTGGCCATGGTCATCACCAGGGGCTCCGCCGTCTCGTGCACTCTTCTTCCTTCTCCGCCGGCGACCACCCTTCGAGGAAGGTGATGCTGCAGCAGGGGCATTAGGAACATACATCCATGTGCCAGTCGAAGTCACGGACTTGGTCGGCTTGTCAACCTGGTAGAACTCATGGCTTCCGCAATCCAAGCAATGCCAACGGCCAAATTGGCTCACCAAGGTCGCCCTCGTGGAGTCACAGCGGAGGCAGCGCCAGCTCGTAGGAGATGTCGGCGTCTGCTCATCTTCATTGGGCTCAACATCAAAGGCCTCAGCGATTGGCCTGGCAGGTGGCTCGGACCATCCTGAGTGATGGGAGGTGGCATCGTCAGCGAACAGATCGAAGTCGTCGCCGTCCTCGCCATCGTCCTCAGCCATGTTGAAGGTCGGAACGGGGCCAACCGAGAGCAAGGGAATCGGCATTCCCGAGAGACACCTGCCAGCGAGGCTCCGGTGCCAACTTGTCAAAGCACGACGTGTCAGCCGCGCACCATTTCCGCACCGCTCGAACGCGAAAAGGTCAGTGGCTCGAGGATCCTAAACATGGGGCCGAAAGGGCAGTGTGGTCAACATGGAAGCGAATGCCTGCACGATTTTCTCAGTTTCAACCTGTTTCACCATGTTTACCCCGATCGCTGGTCCCAAGCTTCACAAGGTTCCGCTTCCCAGCTCCCTACATGGACCATCCACCTATAGGTAGCTCAACATAGCTCAACTTCACATGGCACCCGGCAGCTCCCGTTTTGGCCTGCAGACACATGCGCGAAGGTTTCACCAAAGGCATGCGCATGCATGCGCCTTTTACAAAAGTTCCTTCTACAGTGGCGTTTCACTCAGTGAATGCCTGAATGCCCTTTCTGATCTGCTTCAACTGCTTTGGAACGGATTGCTCACGTGGCCAGATCCCAACACGAACTGGCCTTTTGGGCGACTGGCTGAGTCCTGTGGAGGTCAGGCTGAAGTCGAGTCTGCTCACTGTTCGGATAGACGACTAAGGTAATGGAACCCCTTCAAGTTCCTACTGCTCCACAAAGCCTACAATTGAGGATGGAAAATGCGAACCCTCCCCAGAACACATCTAAACGCCCCTTGAACTCTCGAATGAGGACAACACTGAATAATTGTACGATATGACAATATAGTTTGGGTCTTTCCCATTGCCAGTAACAGTGGATGATGATGGTTAGTGGAGGTCTTTCTCAAAAATAGTGATCGATAGTCTTTTACTGACTGTTACTGGTATATCATAGGCTACACCCTAAATATAGTGTGTAACTGACTGTATGTATATATATATACAGTTGTTTAAGATTCAACTTAACATCTCTAAACACCCGTGGTTCAACAACATCGTTGAAGCGGCGTGAAACCCCAAAGCCCCCCTCTCAACTCTCAACCCCTCTCGGCTCCCGAAACCACAGAGAGTTCTTTGGATGTCACACTGCCTTCGGCCGCTTCAAGGCCGTTGGATCGAACTGGGCCGTTTGCAGGTTGAAGCCGCTGGGGCGGATGATCTCCTGCGCACAGCTTTTCACGGTGTCAAACAGCTGGCACCAAAAAGCGCAGTACGGCTGGAGGTCACTTCGCCTCGTGGCCTGCGATTTGCTTGCACCTTGTAGCAAGGACGCTATTAGGTTGGAGGCCATCGCTATTAGGAGCAAGAAGCTACTAGTTTCATCTAGTTTCATGTTCAATTGGTGGAACAGAATAAACCATCTGAAACTCGCTGGTTCATTAATGGCTGGAATCTAGCATCCTGACATGGTCATTGGGTTGGCAGGGGCTCCCCACATCCACAGAGAAAAGCCCTCCGCAAATCTGCGCTTCAACAACCCCAAACCGTTGATACCGCCCAAATGCGCTCCAGGTCGGCGGCAAGGCCGAACTGTGAAGGGTCCCGGCAGACGGCGGCTAGGCACTCCAAACAGGCCTTTCGATCCTGGGGCTGAGAAGGGGATGAAAGCGGAAAAAGACAGTCTAAGAGGAACATGCGTAGAATGACGCTAAGAAATGCTTTACAAGGACATGCCTATGGGAATCCAATAGGATCAAACAGTATGCGTCCATCAAATCCAGGGAAACGGGGAGACCAATCCTTTGTCGATGGGTTCAACCAGGTGTCGGTGACCCTTCAGCTGAACCAAAGCGAGAACTCCAAACAAGCGCTAGCGGCAGCGCCTGGGTGACTTCCAAACGCTGCTCATATGTTGAGCGGCGTTGATGAAGTAACTAATTAGGCTTGGGCGTTTATGGCTGTATGTTTCTACGGCGTGAACGTCGAGCTGTAAGACATGAAGTCGTGCGTTTTGCTGCTGAGGTGGCACTTTGCTAGGGCTTGCACGATGGTGCTCCTCTCCATTTGGGTCTCGAGAGGCCGCATTGCAATAGTCTCCGCAATGCAGGTGACGCTGACGCGTACTTGGGGAACCTTGACGCCATCCCTCCCCACCATTCCATCAGTCCTGCTGCCAATTGGCGTCCGCCAACGACATGGTCCGGCTGCCAAAAATCGCCAGGCGTTTAAGCTCTTATTTCAACTTGTGTCTGCAGTGCCTATAACTCTCCTTCGTAGTTGGTCCATTGCTCACTTTCACGGTGCGAATACTTCTCAGGTATCTCATGCAGAGCCAGCCATCTCAGGAAGTGGGCGTTGCATCGTCCGTTCACCTGTTGCCGTGTGATCTGACACGACTTGAAGGGTCATGCTATGCTAGAGCAAAAACAAAACACCTCGCACAGCAAGGGCCACAATGATACATGCATCGTTTGACCCCAAGTGAGGTCTGCAACACTTCGCGACTCAAACGCTCGCAAATGTCATCCTAACTTGTTGAGCTGCAAAGCCCAGCCGTTCTCAACACAGAAAACAACATAATGTTAAAACAGTTCATACATGTTCCGGAAAAAACGGCTGCGGCTCTAAAGATTGACCGAAAAGTTTTAAACATGCACCACAACCTTGTGGAAGGATATGGGAGGAACATGGAGGAACCAATTCACCAAACCAGTGGCCTCCTATGCAGGGTCCGCCGTGGTTGAATGTCCTAAAGAGTGACCAAGGGATCCCCACACGTGTCAAGCCATGCCAATGGCTCCGTTCGGTATGTTATTTTTCTCTGGTGAAACTTGACCCGATCAGCGGAGCGGAGGCTGCACCACACGTGCGGCGGAAGGATCTCAATTATGGCAACCCTTCGCCGCACCGAGGTATGCAGCGCCAAGCCGGCCATGTTGCAAACATCCACGAATCTTCCACATGTCAAGCTTTTATTCACCACCTACTTTAGGTTGTTGTCTGGATGCTGAGCTGATGTTTCAAGTCCTACGCGCACCAAAAGAAAACTGTTGGGGTTGAGGGACACTTTATCAAATGTTTTTGGAAGAGATGCCCTCATTTATGGCCGACTGTGTTCAGCTCCACCCGCCAGCCACAGGCTTTTTCGGACCCTCAGCTCACTCGCAGCATGCGGCTTCCACGCAGACGTTTCGCATGAGTGCTTCGTTTCGAACTTGTGCTTCGTGGAGGAGGCCAGGTTGAGTCAAATAGAAGATCACCCTCTCCATGTGGTAGGAGATAGTGTCTTCCTCAACACTTTGTCAAGAAGTCTTCTCCTCTGCCCCTACCACTTGCAAAACAGCACTGCACTGATGCCCAGTAACTTTAAATCCTATGTGTTTAGGTCCTTTAGAGCTTCCGGGTCTACTTGGTGCATGTTGAAAATGTGCACTTCACTTGGCCGATTCTCAAACGGCGCATTGCAAAATCACAGTTCACACGTCGGAAAGAGAGGAAGTCGGTGGGAGTGTCCCTCGTTCTGGCGCTATTGAGTTCAGTGTCCCTAAAAAACAATGGAAACTAATGGCGATGGCCTCCACCCTAGTAGCGAAGGCCTCCAATCTAATAGTGATGGCCTCCACCCTAGTAGCGATGGCCTCCAATCTAATAGTAATGGCCTCCACCCTAGTAGCGATGGCCTCCAATCTAATAGCGATGGCCTCCAGCCTAGTAGCAATGGCCTCCACCCTAGTAGCGACGGCCTCCAACCTAATAGCGGTGGCCTTCAACCTAATAGCCATGGCCTCCGCCCTAATAGCGATGGCTTTCACCCTAGTAGTGATGGC